CGACAAACAATTCAATTAAAAAATGGGCAAAGGACCTAAACAGACACTTCTCCAAGGAGGACATACATAGGGCCCAGAGACATATGAAAGGATGCTCCTCATCACTAGCCATCAAAGATATGCAAATTAACATCGCAATGAGATACTACTTCGCACCAGTCAGAATGGCTATCATAACCAAATCAACAAACAACAAGTGCTGGCGAGGTTGTAGAGAAAAGTGAACCCTAGTACACTGTTGGTGGGAATGCAGACTGGTGCAGCCACTGTGGAAAACAGTTTGGAATTTCCTCAAAAAGCTGAAAACGGAACTGTCTTTTGACCCAGCCGTTCCTCTGCTGGGATTATACCCTAAGAATCCCTAATCACCAGTTCAAAAGAACCTATGCACCCCAATGTTCATAGCAGCGCAATTTACAATAGCCAAGTGCTGGAAGCAACCTAAGTGCCCATCAGTAAATGAGTGGATCAAAAAACTGGTACATTTACACAATGGAATACTATGCAGCAGAAAGAAAGAAAGAGCTACTACCCTTTGAGACCGCATGGATGGAACTGGAGAGCATTATGCTAAGCGAAATAAGCCAGGGGGCGAAAGACAAATACCATATGATCTCACCTATTAGTGGAACCTAATCAACAAAACAAACAAGCAAGCAAAATATAACCAGCAACATTGAAAGAAAAAACAACAACAACAATAGTAACAAAAGGGAAGGAGGGAGGGAGGAGGTAATGGGGAAAAGAAGAGGAAGGGTCAAATCAAGGAACATGTATAAAGGACCCATGGACAAAGCCAAAGTGGGGAAGGATTGAGGGTGGGGCGGGGGAAAGTGGTGGCGGGAAAATGGAGACAAATGTATTTGTACAATAATAAAAAAAAATGTGGCCTATGGCTGAGTAGCATTACCGTCACTTGACAGTTTGTTAGAAATGCAGAATCTCAGGTCCCCTCCAGAGCTACTGGATCAGAATCTGCATTTTAACAAGACCTCCAATTTCACAGAAGCCCGTCAAAGTTTGAGAAACACTGCCTCGGGACATGTACACATGTTCACCAAGACAAAGCTAGTGCTTCTGGTCTCATGCATTTCCATTAAACCATCAAGAGGTTTGATGGCTCTTCACCACAGGGGCCGCCCTCTATTTTGACCTTGCTGCAAACTGCTCCAGGGAACACAGCCCACAATGGAACACGTCCTCTCGGACTGATCCAAGGTCTCACCACTCTTTAGGGCTGAACCCAGCACCACCCAGCTGGAAAGTAGGATTACATGCTAATGCCCTTGGGCACAATCGCTGGCTAAAGAGAGAGCAGAAGAAACCCAAAAGGCAACGCAAGGGAGAAAGTACTCGTAAAATGGAGTTTAGCCAAGTAAAAGCATGTAAAAAACTAATCATTGGCATCTATAAAAACTATTTACCACGTGTGCCTAATGACCACGCAAGATAATTGTGATTAAGGGAATCATTTAATATGCAGCTGATTACTTTGTAAAGGCTTATTTGATTACATGATTGGTAATGCCAAAAAGTTTTTTAAAGATTTTATTTATTTTTAGAAAGAGGAGAGGGGAGGAAAAAAGGGAGGGAGAAAAACATCGATGTGTGAGAGAAACATCAATCAGTTGCCTCTTGCATGCCCCCAACCCTCAGTCAGGGACCTGGCCCACAACCCAGGCCTGTGCCCTGATTGGGAACAGAAACAGTGCTCTTTCAGTTCTCAGGACAGCGTCCAACCACTGAGCCACACTAGTCAAGGCCTGGTAATCCCAAATTTCTAGTCAGGGCTAAACTTTGGACTTCTGCCTCTAAATCTCCAGAATGCACATGTAAAGAGATTCCCTGCTCAGAACTTGCAAAAGGTAAAAGAGCTGTTTACTTTCAAATCTGAGCTGTGATTTTGCTCAGACTCAGAAGGGGCTTGTTGTGGGCACCAGACTCTACTCATCTTTCTACATCCAACTAAAGTGTTCTACCCTTCAGGAAGCTCTCCCAGAAATGAATCCTCCGTATTCTCTTTCAGGGCATTTTCTTTGGATTTGTATTACAGACATTAGGAGGTAGGAGAACTTTTGCAGTAGGAACCCAGGCTTTGCAGCCGAACTACATAGGTCTAAATTCCCCCTCTGCCTATTACTAGCTGTGTGACCTTGGCCATGTAACTTCCCTTCACAGCTGTCAGATGCAGAAACCTACACCACAGGTATATTCTGAAGATTACATGAGACAATGCATTAAAAAATTACAGTACCTGGCACATATAAATACTGAATCAATGTCAGCTACTATTACTAGCACTTCACCAAGTCTGGCTTCAATTAGAGTTGATTGTATATAAGTCTGTCTTTCCTACTAGACTGTGAGCAAACTGTTTATATCACACACATCTGGCATAGCAACTTACAAATGGTAGACACAATAATATTTGTCAAATTGGTTTGAACGTATGCCAAGAAGAGGAAAGGGAGGGCGCTAGAAGCAAATTTAATGTACTTCATGATTTTACCCAGGGCCAACCTCTGTAGTGTTTGTTTTCTTCTATTACTAGAGTCCATTGTTTTAGACTATGCTATAGTCTAAATGGGTCTGGGGAGACATTATTTCTGGAACCAGATACTTTATTCAGAGAGAGTGAGGTTGTTCTGTGAGGTATCTGAAAGACTGTCCAAACTGGGCGCCCTGGCATGGGGTCACCTCAGCTTTGAATATCACTCACCTAGTAGGGATGCATTTTGTTTTTCAACACATTTATTTAGAGGGATGACTTTACAGATTGCACAGAAGCTGTATGTACCAGCGGGAGCTCTACAGCACACTCCAAGGTCCCCTCTTAAACAAGCCTCCTGACTCTAGGATGAAGATCAACTAAAATGATGCTTAGTTTACTAAATATTTATTGAGTGCCCATTATATGCTGAACATGCTCTAAACACTGAAGATCCGAAGGTGACTAAAGAAATTACAGTTGTGGGATGGGGGAGGCAATGCAGAGGGCAGGGAGGTAGACAAATAGGACAAGCCTCAGGCATTCAGTGGCGGGGTACTGTAGAAACATCCAAGCCAGAGCCGAATCCAGGGCTCAGAGGGTTAGAGAAGGCTTACCAGGGAAACTAACAACCAGGGTAAGGCTTGAAGGAGTGATTGCAACAGCTAACATTTATTGAGTACATACTATATGCAGAAGGCCCTGTTCTGAGAACCTTTCATGAATCCCTCATTTAGTCCTTACAGCAACCCTCTGAGGTAGATATTATATCCTCTTCATTTTATAGATGAGGAAACTGAGGCACACAGTAAATGATGGAGCTGAGATTCAAAGCCAGATAATATGGCTCCAGACTAAAGGGGAAGGAGAGAGCGAGATAGGCCTTCAAGAAAAAGATAAGCTTCTTGCAACAGTCTGGGAGGGAGGAAAGAAGCAAGGTCTTTTGGGGAACTGAAAGTGGCTGGGGGGAGGGACAAAAGTACCCTGATGACTAGGCTTGCTGCTTAGAGGGGAAACCAGACACAGGGGATTTCTAGTTTAGCTGTGTGATTCTTGTCCTCGAGCCCCTCCTGGCCTCAGTCTCTCCCTTTTGTAAAAGACAATAATGACAATACCCAGGGTCCACCGTAGAGAAGGGCCGTGGGTACCAAATGAGAAAGAAGTATGCTAACTTGATAGAAAAGTACAAATTCCTTCCCAGACTTGCAGTTTCACCAGTATCACTACACCAATAGATTCAAGGTTTTGCAAACCTGGAATCGACAGTGGCAGGGTAGTAGCGAGAGCCTTGGGGCTAGAGCAACAGTGTGGGGAACAGAAAGGCCGGCGGACAGACACTGTCCCATCACCTGCATCCAAATTCACCACTTGCTGTGTGATCCCAAGGTAAGCTAGCTACTCTCCCACTGCCTCAACTCCGTCATCTATAAAATGGGGATGGTGACATAGCACTCATTCCATAAATTAACATGAGTAATTAATACCACCTGTAGCATGCTTAGAACAGCTCCCGGCACAGAGTAAAGACGTAGTAAACGTTAACGGCTATCATTATTATGATTATTAAGATATCTGTCAGTTGTTCATCCCACTCCTCCACATTCCATGTGATAAAATGTGTGAGGATATTAGAAATTAGAGAGGATGAAGAAGGTTTGCAACCCCACGCACCCACGCTGCTGCAGAGATTCCTCTTGGCTCCCACAGACTGGCAAGCAGCTAGCTTTCCGTCCCGGCAGAAAATGCCCAAAAGAGGTAAAAGACAGAGACTGCACACCATTTGTGCAAAGCAGGCTGCTCTTGTAGTTTTTAGATAAAATCTAAATATAGTCAGTCAAATATGCCTTGCTTTTTTAAGATAAAACTGTTCTTCTCCAGCCCTCCATCCCTTCTCTCCCCGGCCTCCCTCGCCCTCCATACAAGTACACACTTCCAGGCTGCTTCCAAGAAACTTTCAGTCTTTTGCAAGACATTCTCTCGGGTCCTGTTGTGACAGCCTCTTGCCACATTAACTTCTCCAACTCCCTGCAGAGAAGCTTTTGCTAACTTCACAACAGGAAAGCACTCAGGAAATTCAAGAACAAAACAAATCTGCACACCGAGCCCAGCATCGTCCAGCAAATACGCTGAGGTACACCGACCTACCGAAGCAAGATGACTCTGGACTATAAATGAAGCAGCTGCCTCTTAAACTGCAAGGGGACGGAAGAAGTCGTTTACTTCTTAAAAAAAAATCTGAATATAAATGAATAATGAATATTCATGAGCCCCTTCAGCTGCCACAAGAGCCACCGTAGACAACAACCAAGGGGCTTTGCTTCTTAAAAAGTTTCCCAAAGTTCTTTCTCTGCCTCCTCTCAGAAGGAGAGGGTGGGAAAGTTCATTTAGGGCTTTTTGCCTCTTGCTTTTTCAAGTACTTGCTTTTGGTCTGGTTTTTATTTTTTCCTCTTTTTTTCTTTTTTCTTTTCTTTTTTGTCCTTAAGGATTCGGATCAAATCAATTTTGCTCTTACCCTTTACATCTTCCATAATTGGCAGCTTTTGTTTTCTTCCTCTTTGCTCTTTTTTTTTTTTTTTCAGCCTCTGCTTGCTGTGGTCGGTCTCTGTGAGAGAGGTACTCAAGGAACAGAGATATAACAGACCCTCCGACTCGTGGGCGGGGCTAAATTAGCCGGCCCGTTTAGGAAGGAACCTTAAACTCAGTCTCTTTCATTGACTGGAAACGACAGATTGGTCTTCGGTGGAAAAGCCCTGCCGCTCATTTCCGTAAAGCTACAAGAAGGCTTCCCAGGGTTGTAACTTTTTGTATTCGTGTTCAAACGTCTCGCGCGCGCTCTCTTCCTCTCTCATTGTTACAGAAATCCATTTCCCCCCTTGCGAAATGTAACTTGGCTGCAAGCAAAAATGCTGTTTACTTATGCAATTTTGAAGCCAGATAACAAGAAACTTGTTACCTTGATACCCACTGGGAAAATTGGGATGCAGGGGTAGTTCTTCCTGCACCCCGAGACTGATCACTTCTGATCCCTGATGAACAATCCCGTTTCGAGACTTATTAGACCGGAGGAGCAGCGGATCACCCAAGCGACCGACCGGGATGCCGAGTCAGAAGTCCTGTAATTGGAGGGAAGGCTAGATGGAACAGCGAGGAGGCCGCTTGCAGGGAACAGCTCACGAGCCGCACTGACCCAAGTTGTACACATTTTTTTTTTCCTTCCAAACTATGACCTCCTGCCTCTGAAGTCTTCTGAGCAGGAATTGCTACACCCAGGCTTTGCCAAGATGACCCAAATGCTGATAAGATGCTGACAAAAAGATTTTCAAAACTGTATATGAAGTTATTTTTGAAATCAGCACAAGAGCTAATCCCTCTCAGAGGCAAGTGAGTCCTAAAGTCCCAAGGCTGCCTGGGGAGCTTCTCCCTTGAAGAGGCTACCAGAAACCTTAGCATTTTAGGTTTGAAAGCAACCTCAGACATTTAGTCTAACCCAGGTTAGGGATGTGGAACAATTAAGCCACACATATTCAAAAAGATAAAGAGCAGGTAGCTGGTCTCTCTTATTTGCTACCATGCTGGCCGGCACCTAATGCAGTTTCTCCCACGGTGCAGGCTCACGAGAAATATTCGATGAGTGGTTGAATAAATGAATGGCAGCAAAGCAGGAATACAGATCTGGTTCCTGATTCCCAGTTACGTTCTTTTTCTGCATTGCTTCTCCAGAATGAGAATTTTTGTCTAAAGTCGAATATACTGTAAGACATTTTGTTCACATAAACCAGTAAATTTTTGACCATCAAAGATTGTATTTGACTCTATATAGAAAATATATTCTTAACTATATAGTTATGTGCCACTTAATGACACGTGGTATGTTCTGAGAAATGCAGTGTTTGGCAATTTCCTCCTTGTGCCAAAATGATAAGAGTGAATTTACACACACGTAGATGGGATAGCCCACTACACACCTAGGTTATATGGTCAAGACTATTGTTTCTGGGTACAAGCCTGAACAGCATGTTACTGTTCCAAACAACAGATTAAATCAAGCAAAAGCCAAAATGATGCAACCAAGAAACACGCTAAACATAAGATGTATGAGGTCGCTGCCGCATAACACTGCATACTGTTTTACAGCAAACTTTTTTTATGTAAGTAGTACACTCTAACATAATAAAAAGTATAGTATAGTAAATACATAAACCAGTAGCATAGTTATTATAATTATCAAGTATGCTTTTATACAATTAGCAGTGCAGTAGCTTTGTTTATACCAGCATCACCACAAACACTTGAGTAATGCATTGTGCTCTGATGTTTCCATGGTTACGACATTCACTAGGTGATAAGAATTTTTTAGCTCCATTATAATCTTATGGGACCACTTTTGTGTATGCAATCCGTTATGGACCAAAACATCATTCTTTGGTGCATGCCTGCAATTTCAATCATTTTTATTTTTTTAAAGGTTTTATTTATTTATTTTTAGAAATAGGGGAAGGGAAGGAAACTTTGATCTGTGAGAGAAACATTGGTTGGTTGCCTCTTGCACCCCCCCAAATGGGGACCCAGCCCACAATACAGACATGTGCCCTGACCCAGAACCGAACAGGCAACCTTTTGGTTCACAGGCTGGTGCTCAATCCACTGAGCCACACCAGCCAGGGCAACTTTTATTTTTTGATAAAGGCAAGGCTGACTTTTTAATTTAGGCATCTCTGTTGTGACTTTGCACAGTGACTGCCCCATGGTATGTGCTCAATAAATGTTTGGTGCCTTAATTTGGGTCTGTACAACAAAACTCTTTATCTTACTAAATAGCTCATAGTTACAGAATTTTGCATTTATAACAACAACTACTTATAGTAAATGAAAAAAAAAACAATGTATGACTCCTCGAGAGCCAGTTTAGACTCCATCTCTAATAAAGAACATTGGTTTGATATTCCTCCTACTGTCATAAAATGGTTTTAACTAATAGAATGGGATATGTGGGAAAACCAACAATTTTTATAATGGGTATATAACTGTCTTGCATCATTGTTTTGGAGAAAAATTTTAAAAAGAGCACGTCCACAGAACATCCTATTAACAACAGAATGGAACACAGACCATCAAAGCTAGAAAGAGAAAACGATGATCAAGGGGAAGATCCAGAGTGAGTGAGGAGGCAGGTGAAAGGAACAGACAGACCGGCACCTGAACATGTCAGGGAGAGCCCCACGCTGGGCACGGTGGCAATAGTTCTCTATTTCAAACAAGATTAAAGTTCAAAGATTCCTATCACGTTCTATCGACTTGGACATCACATCCTCGACTAAAGGTTACTTCAACAATTGACCCAATCGTTTTCAATTTCATCACAGAGAGAGGAGCTATCAAGTAAAGTACCAAACTTCTGTTTCAACCAGAAGAGGTAAAATTTCATCATAATAACTAGGACTTCATAACAATTTAAAGTTCATCAGAGTTAAATATACAGTAATAGAAGCATAGTTTTAGTCCTCAACTGATATTATGTGAACCTTTGTTTGACATTTAATGCTTTTATGGTAATATGCTTTGTACTACAATTTAACCTTATTATCTGGTGTCCATATCTTCCTTGGCATCATGATAACATGATAGTTAAGTAAATGTTACTTCTCATTTATTCAAGAATAATTACAAAAGAGATGAGGGTTTTGTGTATCTTTTTAAAAGCCTGAGACTTTATCTTAACACATAAATTTCTGAACAAAAAATTATCATCACTCTTTATATTATTGTTATTTGTAATAGGAAGTAGAAAATAAAAGCTACACTCACAGAGATAAAGGGGCTTGTTAAAAAGGGGTGAAGATATTCATCTTTTAATGATAAAATGGCCTTTGATTATTCTTAGAATGATTAAAGTTTTACTTTTTTCTATACCCTCATTCTCTCTTACTCGGCTGCCCAGATCCTTCCTTTTATTTATTAATTTTTTATTGATTTGAAAGGGAGAGGATAGGGGGGTCGAGACAGGGAGAAAGAGACATCAGTTTGTTCACTGGAGGTCAAACCCACAACCTGCTCATATCGGGACGATGTTCTAACCAACTGAGCTATCTCTGGCCAGGACCCAGATGATCTTCCTACCATGTATACCTGATAATGTCATTCTCAGGCTTAAAAATTCCAGTCACCTTATCACTCATAAAATTCAATTTCCTATCACCGCATACATAATGTCTCTCTCTCTAGCTCTCTAGATTCATTTCCTGCCATAGGTGGCTGTACCCTAAAATCAAATTCTAATTTCCACCCCATAGTGCTTTCATGACTCTGAATTTATACAAGTTGTTGCTTCTGCCCAGAATGCTTTTTACCCTCTTGTTCTCCTGGCCCTCCTGCATGTCCTTCATGATTCAGATTATCTGGTCCTCTGTGAAGCTCTGCCTCACCTCTCTTCAATCCTTTCCCAAGTCTCCACAAACATAGCACTAATCCTCAGAAGAGATGCCAGTCATATTACCATGATGTGTTACAATTTCATTTATGTCTCAGACCATAAACCAGAGAGTCACATTTGAATTCTCTTTCCTCACAACCCAAGTCTACTTTTTTAGCACATTCCTTGGTTTCCATCTTCAAAATATTCCAGAACCTGACCTCTTCCCATTTTCTCCACTCCTCCCAAGCCACATCATCTCTCACCTGGTTTATTGTGATAGCCTTCTTCCAGATTCTGCTCTTAACCCTGTGGAGTCCATTCTCAACCCCAAACCTATAGTCATTCAATTAAAACAAAACAAAACAAAACAAAACAAAACAAAACAAAACAAAACAATAGATTGTGTCATTTCTCTGCCCAGAACCCTCCAATGGCTTCCATTTCATTCCAAGCAAAATTAAAGCCTTTCCAACCGGAAAGGCCTGGTCCCCTCCACCTTACTGACTTTATTTCCTGCTACTTTCCTCTCCTTGGGTCCTCTGTTCCAACCTCAGAGTCTTTGCAGTTGCTGTTCCTTCTGCCTGGAATATTTTGCTCCCAAATATCTACACAGCTCATTTTCTCATTCCCTGTAGGTTTTTATTTATCTTCTACCTCAGCACAAGATTGTGATCTCTAAATACTACTTTCCATTAAAACAGACCAACAGCCTTTGGGAAAATGACTGATTCCAAGTCTGAGACAGGAAGTATGAAAGATGAGACTGGAATATTTTGTGATACCAGAAAGCAAGAACACTGCCTACAGTGCTAGGGTTGTGTCAAAAGGACTCAGGAGCCAACTAGCCAAGTGGTAAAAATTTGAGCAGCAATAAGAAATAATAACTGAAACAGAGTGAAACACATCAGATATGCTATAAAGATGCTAAATCTATAGTAAAGATGCTATAAATAAATCATTGTTCGCCTTTAGAACCAATTCGTTGTTCTGGAAACAAAAAAAAAAAATAAAAGGGGGGAAGAGCAATATTCAGCATGCCTTTGCTGCACAAACTGTACCACAAGACAACCAAATAGTTGATGTGGGAAAATTTCCTTAAAGTATAATGAAAAAATAAAATTGGTAGCATTAGAGTATCACCATTGTGCAAGTACCTAACCAAGTAATAACTCTAAGCAATAATCAGTGACTGCTTATGTCGCAAAAGGAAGTGCAAATGTTCATTGCAGGCCTTCTGATGGAAGCACACACCATACCCCCTCAAGCAGTCTTGACAAAAAATTGAAGCCTCTAGATATAACCACCAGTTTACAGTATACAAGGCACAGAAAATCATATTAAAAGACACTACAGGAATTTAATCAGTAAAATTTAGTCTGAAGGAAACAACTATAAAAACAAATCAAAATTTTTTTAACAAAAAAATTACAAGGAAGAAAAAGATGAGGTACCTGCAACTAAACAAGATTGAAAAGATATAAGAACTAAATGTAATATCTGGACC